AGCTAGTTAAGCAAACTGGAGAGAGGTGTCTGAATATAGAGGAGAGGGCAAAAGCAAGGTCCTCAAATGTTTCTTGCTTCTCAAGGAGCCAGATTTATGTGCGAGGGGACAGGCAGTCACAGGTATTGCTTGGTAATTTGTCTCTGGGCCTGCTCCATATTGATGACTTGTACAAGAAGCTTGAAATCCAATGGATTAATTACTTTCTAATGCTATGTTCTGTATAGCTGGAAGATAAGTGGCAGTCTGTTTGGTGTTGCTTGCAACTGAGAAGTGTATGTGCACACATGTGCCTAGCTTGCAGCTACCTTCGGGAATAAATGTCCTGCCTTCCAAAATTCCCTGGCTTTGGCCAGCTCCTGGCTCTTCCCATCCTTAATGTTGAAGGAGGGGGATTAAAGGAGGCTGGTGCTCTGTGCATTGTTCTGCTGACCTGCCATTCCCTCTTGGTGTGACTGGGAGTACATCTGCCAGGGGACCCCATGCAGCTGTCCCTCATTGCATAGCACGTGTATGTCCAGCCGTGTTTGCACCAGCTCACCTAAAGGTGTGTGTGCACTCCCTGCCCTGTGAGTGGAAGCACATCTGTCAGTGGGATGAGCTCATCAGGTGGTGAAGGGGTGACTTCATTCTGGTAATGTCTCACATTCTGGTGATGTGATGGACAATGTTTTGGTTATCTGCAGAAGGTGGGGAGAAAGGAAGACCCAGGCCATGGTCTGTGAGAGCCTGTTTGGTCCACCTTGACACAAAGGTTCTGTGCTAAGGATGTGTGTTCCTTAAGTACAACTGATGATCCCTGTGTTAAGGATGGTAAACAACAAAATGGTAGGATTTATGATTAGTGCTCTTAAATGCAGTGCTTGCTTTGGATTGAAAGTCCACAGTGTTCTTTTGAAGATGTCTGATTTCTGTTTTTATTAAAGGAAATAGCCCTAAAAACTTTAAATGTGAAAAACTTGTGATGTTGTCTCTTTGTAATTGTTGAAGCAAGGAGAAGCACTGAGTTGTTTAACAATGGAAATAAAAGTGATCAGAAACTTTGTTCTCTGAAGAGGAATGCTGCTGAAAACAAGGTGGAAATGACCTTTCAGCTTTTATTGGTTGTCTGAAGAGGCCATTGAGCCTTGAACTACATGAGGCTGTTGAAGAGTACAAAACTTTGCTCTTGTGACTTGTCATTTGTTTGCAACCTGTATTGGCAGAGCAATTTGTGAGAGGATCTTATCAATTGGATCTTTCAGTTCTGTATCTACTATTCATTTCTGTAGGCAAATAATTTCTCTGGGGTGTGGTTCAGATGGAGTTGAAATGAGCTTTCTGAAACAGATCATTAAGTACTAGATTCAGGCGGTTTAGCAGTTTGACATGCAGGCTTAAAAACTTCTAGAAATGTTGAACAGGTTTCAAGATGTATTTCTCTTTGAAACTCTGTTATTTTCAATGGAAACAGTTAACTGAGCAGCCTGGTCTCTGGCAGTAGTGTGCCCTCTGCAATGTATGCTGTTACTAAATAGCAGCTAAGTTTGGTAGAAACAGTGAATGGGGATGCATCATTTTGTTCATTCATTGCTGGGGAACCGATGAGCAAAACTGCTTTTAAATCAGGATCCTGTTCAAAGAGGGGTGTTTTTCATTCATTTATTTATTTTGTGTGTGTGTGTTTATCATTAAAAAAAAAAAAAAAATTGTCAATGAGTCTACTGGAACAGAAAGGAACTGCATTTACACTCAGGTTCTAATGATTAGTGGCTTAAACTTTCATTTTTTGCACAACTTTAAACTAGTTTAGAGGGGGGAGAGAGTTTTTGATCATCCTAAAGAAGGAAGAAGAAATTAGTGACTAGAACAGCCTTGAGAAATGGACACATTTTGCTGCTTCTGTATGATATTGTGTCTGAAGTTCACCATATGAGACTTGCATCTATCACACTGAAGTCCGGAGTTCTGTTCTTATTCTAAGTTGAATCACTTTGAAGAATGCTGTAGGCATTAAGTGAACAGTCTTTTATGTGAAGTCAGTGATGAAGAATTCTGTGAAAGCTGGGACTGTTTCTCATATACTCAGGGAGGTGTACAGGTGGTGAAGTAACAATCATAACTTAGATTTTCTTGCTTCTTGTCCAGAGGAGCTTATGATAAGTGGCTCATCCTATGTGCATCTGGCACATCAGGAAGGGATTTACAATGCTAGATCAGGAGATGGCTTGAGCAAGATGTGCATCATTCTGTGTAATTGTCAGTAGGAAGTAAAATGCGTGATATGATAATGTGGTATTTTCAACTATATTGCTGCTTAGGCATACTGTTACAGATAGATGCATGTCAAGTCTGTCTTCATATTTTGGGGATGTGATGAATCAGGTTATGTTTATGCCTTTTCTGAACACACATAAGTGACGGCATTCCATGGTGAGTATGGTGTATTCTGTCTGGAGCCATGTAAACTTCTGGAACTTGTTTTGCAGTCTCACAGGACAGGGAAATCATCGGCATCCCAGGGATGTTTTATCTGTAAATGCTGCTGTTTGTGAGGAGCTTGTGTATGATTGCTGTCCTTCTGTTCATCTCCCTTTCCTCCAACTTACTATCTTCTTTTACTGGAATATGTGAAGATCTACTTTTGCCCTGTACCTCTGTGGCTGAAAATTCTGCACTATTTCTGCTTTTGAAGTCCAAGCAGAAGAAAAGAGGCGATGTGATCAGTCCTCAGGATTTTTATCTCAGCAATGCATCTAAGCTAGAACTGGTAATTCTTCTTTATGACAATCAGCCTTGTTTCTTTTCCCTTCCATCCCCTTAATTTTCTCAACATTAGTGGTTATAGAAAGCTCTGATAATCAGTCAGAACCTGAGATGGTGGAGTTCTCAGCCACTTCTCAGTTTTGAGCTTTTCCTTGAGATTGCAAAGCCCACTGAATTTAAATGGAGACTTCAGAGGCAAAGTTTGGTCATCAGTTCGTGCCTGAAGATTGCTGTGTAAGCATCGCTCCTTATGTATAAACCCAAGTAATTGCTCTAAACTTTCACATGTTGCTGAAATAAAACTTAGAAGCAGCTGTCAGATTTTTAAAATAAATACATAAAAGTAGGAAGGAACGGATACTTAATCACTATGTCCCTTCCAGAGAGAAAGGTTTGTCTGTACTGAAAAATGCTGTTGGTTTTCATTGAACAAAACCTCTTAGCAGTTTTGGTTTCTGCTCTCAGTAGCAAAAGTATCAGGCCTTTTGACCTAAAGGTGGTTTTGTGGCTGGCCAAGGTTTTGTGACTATATGGGCCTTTACTTGCTCCCTTGATCAGAAATTAGAGTCCTTGGAATTTATGAAGATGTGTAGATTTTCTGTATGTTAGAGCAAAATGTTTCCATGTGTGCTTGGCTTACGGCATAGAGGCTGCTGAGGGATGAGTCTGGAGGATTCATTAATAGACACTCCAAATGCCTTTCCTTCTGGCCTTTTGCAGAAGCTGTGACGCAGAACTGAGATTTTCTTTTGTCTTTGGATCTGCTTTGGAAAATGTGTTGGGGAAGCTTCTCTTTCTGTCTTACAGGGAGTGGGAACATACTGTTGTTTGGAACTCTGAAAAGATTAAAAAATGTTGTTATTGCCACATCTTGTGTAGACAATGAGTCCATCTAAGTAATAATACTGTGGTAAATTATTTACGAAGTGTGAAATCTTTGTAATGGCTATGCTAGTGTTTTCAAAAAGTAACTTTTGACTTTCTTGCAACTTGAAAGGAGAAGAGTGACTTGTTTCTGCTGAGCTTCTGATCTACAGAGAGAGAAAAGCAGGCGATTCAAGCTTTCAGTTAGGAAATCTGCAGTAAATATTAACTTAATGTTTTTGAAATGTGATTTGTTGAGTGTGAACATTTGAGTGCTTAATTGCTTTTGTATTCTTATTGTGGAACATCTCATCTGATTTGAGAAGTTACAGAACTAAAATAGAACTAGCCATATCTGCTTGTATGTACACAGACTATGCCAAAGTGTGTATGTGGGGCAAGTGTCTCAATGGAGACGTTTGTGACTTATGCTTGTTTCTACTTCTTGAATGAATAGGTGTTAACCATACAGCTGAGAAGCTGAAATTACTAAGTAAGTTTTTTTTTTTTGTTGTAGTAGTAGTTCTGCTTTTCAATTTCCAGGTAGCCATATCTAGATTGGTAACTACATAAGGTTATTACAATAAATGTGGGCAATGATTTTTGCTAACCAGGGAAACATATTACTGGAAGACTTAGACTCTAAAAATTCTCCGTCAGTGCACTATTTTTGTCCAGTGCAATGGGTGTTTACTATATTACAATGAACCACAGTAACTTTAATGGGATACTTTGATTCTGCATCCCTGTATAAGATACTTTCTGCATTAGAATAAAACAAATGCAGTGCAGGTTAGAGTTCTGTGATTCTGCAAGCATGCTTGAAGTTGAGTACATATGTGTGTCTCGACTGTATTTCAATATGGTTATTATCATGCTTATTTGTTTGCCAGGTTAAAACTTTGGATATGAACCGCAGTCATGCAGGAGCTGAGAGGCAGTGAGATCATTTGGAAATACTGGAACCAAAAAGTGACCTATATTAGTGGCTGGATAGGCATTACTGCTGAAAGAGTGAATTACTCAACCATTTTTGTAACGTGATCTTCTGAAATAACACGGCAGTAATATGTGCATAAAGGCTATTTCCATGTTTTAGCTTTATCCCTTACTTTAGGTGATGGAAAGTAATTGTTATAGCAGTGCAATTTATTAGGGCTTACTTGACGTAATTAAGTGTGCAAGAATCAAATGTCACCATAGGATTTGCTGCGCTAAGCGTAAGTAGATCAGAGAACAAATTGTATCTCATTTAGAATAGGAAAAGCCTGTTAACTATGCTGGGTGTAGGCCTGAAAATAATTTTCTTCATAGTAGTGGCTGGGAGAACTCATTATAGCACTGTGTGTCCTTACTGAGGTGTGCCTCTTTTTCTTCATTTTCTGATTTAGATGTCGACACGTTTATTTCCCAGACCCTAAAAGGAGAAAATTTGTCCAAGAAAGCAAAGGAGAAAAGGGATATTCTTCTTAAGAAGATAAAAGATGTTAAGGCAAGGTAAGTAAGCTTTGTGGGTTTAATATGTTATGAAGTAACTTACGTGCAAAGTAGTTATCTTTTAACAACCTTTTAATAATCACTAGCAATATTATCTGTTTAGGTCTTAGTTTGTCAAATAATCAGCTTGGGTTTAGTGTTTCTATCTTGATGAATCTGCTAGGATTCAGTAAGAATCAGGAAGGTAAGGATTCATCACATTTGAATTGCGGTTGGGGCTCAGAATGCTTCAGCAAGCTTGTTACTTAGACCTCACTTTGGTGAGATTCATTAAAATATGGGAAATATAATGCATACAAAGTAGGAATGAGCTTCCTTTTGCCATCCTCAGCTGGTGTAAAGCAGCTCTATTGGATGCTCAGTTAGTGTTACTGCACAGGCTGTTGTTCAGTTCCAATGGGAAGTTGAAACTAAACTGGAAGCTGTTTGTAGATGGTAAGTTTGTTTCAACAATGTTGAGATATTAAAGTACTGTGACAGACCAAGCAGTGATCTTTTTTTTTTTTTGGCTTGTTTTTAAATTTAGTATGATTTCAGACACAGTTATGTTGTAACTTCACATTGATGAAAACAATTTGTCTGAAGAGATTTGGCTATAGTTTACGTGCTACAAAAATATTCTTTGCAAGATCTCTTTTTTTCCAACTCAGATCTACTAGGAGATAATTTAGTACTTGCTGTTCTTTTTTTTTTGATTGCTGTTCCCTGAGTGTTCTCCTGCAAGTTGTTTCTGTTTGGTTCCTACTGAGCCTTACTTTGACTGCTCCTGCATCTGTGGCCACTTGGTTACAGTTTCAAACACAGCACAACCATCTGGCAAGAGCTGTGTTCTTGGTGTCCTACAAACTGTGGGAAGGCATGATATGTGCCTCAGCATTTTGTAACTGAAAATGTTTGTGCATTTCATTAGGGCTGTAAATGCTTGTGGAAGTACTTTATTTATTTATTTATTTTTAAGGAAGCAGGATTTTGTCTCTTTGTGCTTTCTCTTTGGATTATTGAGCTGACTGGGACTGTACAGATGACTTGCAGATATAACACTGCTGACTTGTTTTCTTCCATCTTATGACTCAGTCTATTTTTTTTATATGACGATGAAGTATCAAAGGTGGGGACCTGCAGGTAGGAGCTCAGTTGCCACCGAGTTCTTTCCTACTTATTTATATGACCCTGTGATTTCACATCTTATCTTCATTTCTAATTTATTCCTGGTCTCCTCTAATAGTACTCACTCTTAGCAGTATTTTGCTGTTCATGCAGGATACAAAATGTGTGTGTAGTCACAGTCTTTGATTTTTACATCCCACATACTGTGCTGTGCCTAAGTACTACTGCTACTTGCTGTGCGGAATTTCTTAGATTGGGCCTTTTATTTCTGTTTCTATTTCTTCTTTCTGACTAGCCTGATAAAAGCACTACTGCTTATTATCCATAAAGATGGTCTTAGCAGCTGTATTTTATTTGCTGGTCACTTCTAGTGAAATCTTTCACACAAGTACATGCTGCTCAAGTTGCCTTTTTACATAACTTTGCTGTGATTGTTTATCCTTATACATCGAAGCATATCCGAAGATCATTTTGTTTCTGAAGAAACAGTATTTCTTCCTATGGGATGATAAATATTTTCTTAGGCATTATGCAAATGTCTTTATATTTTAAAATGATTTTACATCTAAGTATGCATCAGCTTTTCATTTATGGTTAATTATTAGTACTTTTCTTTGGATTTCATAGAATACTGCAACAAAAACTACACTTCATATATTTTTTTTTCTTGCTGACCTACTGTGTTATTTTTAGGAAAGGCATAGTGGGTTTTACTTAGAAATTTTGGAAATAATTTCAGAAATCTTTTCAGTGAAAGAGATGCTTTTGTATGTTTATATGATTAAAATATCTGAGTAGATGTGTATACCTAGAATAGGCTGCCTTATCAGGTTTTGGTTTTGTTTGACTTCCTTAAAACGACTAAGCGTTCTCTCTACTGCAAAAGTAAAAGGAAGATTGATTTTAAATATAAAAAACTTTTCCAAGAATGAAACTATGAAAAAGTTTCAGCACTAAGTTTCAACCACAGCGGTTACAGAAAACTAGGAATCATTTAATAATGTTTATATTGCTGTGCATTTGCTAGCATGTATTGCATTATGTCGTTTCTTCTTTTGCAGTTACCCTCAAGAATTCCAGGATAAAGGTAAATCTCATACATTTCTTCCCACTGTAGTATATTTTTGCTCCATGACAGACTGTCATACTGGTTTTTAAACACTCAAGTGTGCGTTGCTTGGCCGAGGCCGCTAGCTCCACCTGCTGAGTGAAACAGCAAAGAGCTCCCAAGTTTTAGTTCTTGCTGAGCCATCTCTGGGCTGGGTTCGTTTCCTTCCTTAAATGCATCTGAGAATGCTTAGAAAAGAGTGAAGGTTAGAAAAATACCTCAGAATTTAATACAAATGGAGCTTGTTATGTCTGATTTAATTAGAGCTTAGCATTGCATGTGACTGTGATGCAGGTTTTTCCTTTTTTTTTTTCTTTTTTTTTTTTTTTTTTTCCCCCCCAGAGAACGCATATACAAAGTAATCTGCTTGGGAGATAAAATGTTAACAGAGATAATTTATTTCAACTTCTTTTCTTAACAGTGATTGCAGAAGTCTTCAATTCCATAGTGGTATTTCTTTAACCTTTTAATAGGCTCAGCTAGTGGCAATATGATATTGGCTTTCGATCCACAGTGAATGGATGTTTTCACAGTATAGCAGGATCCCAGACCTTTAGTTGGAGAGGAGACGATTTAGTGTGCTGGTAATGAAAACTGAAGTGTGGGTTATCTATTATCTTCTGGTGGAGTTAAGACAAAGCTGCAGAACTCAGTTCAGACAAGACTTAGGAGTTTGTTGCTACAGTGTTGTATTCTGTAACTAAACCTGGAAGGGCTCTTATTTCCATGATGCTAATTCTTGAGGTCGTGACCTATAGCCTGTGGATGCTGGTATGAGGGTCACACTGTGAGGTCAAAAAGCCTGTGCAAAGCTCCACATCTTGCACTGGCTGGGGAACTTTCTGTTTTGGAACCGGGAGGTTTGAATGTGTGGACTACTTTCTGCCTCCTGATAAAGTGAAAATATGTGAAGTCATATTCAGGCAAGTAATGTTATAACAAGGCATAACAAGTCCATACATCTCGTACTGCTTTTTAAGTCAAGTTATAGAGGTCTAACAGTTCAACTGAATGAGAAAATGCAACTTCTCAAAGTTAGCCAAGATTTTGTAAGTTCAATCTGTGATTCTTTAAAAAATTATGTTAATATTGTTGCTATTTTTCCTATGTTGTGCCTGAGTACCCTTACAGAAGTTTCTCTCTTCCCTTTACTGCCCAATAGAATTAAGGGTGGAAAAATCAAATATTAATTTATGAAAAAAATGCCTAATGTGAAAGTAGGTGAATGATTGTTTAATTACAGTACACCTGACTTTTTGGAAAACATTCTTTTCAGAAGTTGATAGAGAGTCACAGACTTGGATATTTATTAAAAGTAGAACTGTCTACAGAGAACAATGTTGTTTTTTTTATAAGCTGAAGAAATTCATAATGTGTTTATTTTTCTCATTGATAACTTGATTGAGAATTTTTTTTGCAATTGAAAAAATGATTATTGAAGATAAAGTTTAGTTATCTCCAGTAAAATGTGTGATTTCGTTGATATAGTTTGTAATTGCTCTGATTTGTGGAAGTTGTATTGAACATTATTGTTTTTATTAGGCTGTATTTGCTTCTGAAGAAGGATATATTGCTGTTTTAATTTAACTTTCATAATGTATATTTTATGTTCAGATGCTGTAACTGTGCAGATGGTGAAGCTTGTAAATGCTGACATGTTAGATTTTGTTTGGGGTTTGTTAATAAAATGAGAAGACTCTAAAGTTACACCATTGTTTTCTGCAAACAAGGATAAATTTCTTCAAATTCTTGTGCATTTGTGTGCATGAATATGAAAAAGTCATGGGAAGTATGAGCCTGCTCTTATTTGCAAAATATTTGAGGGAATGTGGTTGAGTGATATGAATTGTCAGTGTAATCTCTGGAGATCAGGAAGTATATACTAAACTTTATTTGGTAGTGTCATTCTTACTTAAGGCCTGTGCAAATTAAGCATGACTCAGGTAGGTGTAGAACAAAGTACTCATCACACAGCGGTGAGCAATTGGGTTCTGTGCCAGCTACTGAAGTAAAAAGCTGCGGCAGCAGCTGAACGAGGTCAACTTTTGTGCACATTCCATACTATGTGCACACCTCTATGTTAGAAAAATGGAAAATAGAAGATTTAGAACTGAGATGCCTGGTCATCTTCTCATTTCTTCCCTGCTTCCAGAGAAAGAAGAAATACTCTCAAAATATAAAGTGAAAAAGGAATGGTGGATGAAGCAGAAATGGGATCGTTGTACTGAAAGGAAAATATGAAGGGGAAAAAAACCCAGCAAAACAACTCACTACGATGCACAGTTGAAACTCATATTTGCTGTTCGCTGTATCCGATTACTCCATTTCTTAATGCAAATAATAGTCTTTTTTTTTCAAGCTAAAAGAACGGTGAGGAACGATTCATACCATGTAGCATCATCACCGTGTATTAGTTATCTTATTATATTGACTGTTTGCAAAAATTCTGTGAGTTGTGATCTGTCATCATTCCAGAGTCATCCAGAAGAGTTTTTTGATGGCTGAAAGAAGTGGACTAACTAAAATATTATGAAATGGAGCACTGGTCTCTCAAACAGCAGCTCCATCAGCTTGTAAGTTGTTCCACAAACATGTTCTGTGGACATTGCTTGTCACTCCACTTTCTTTCATGGTTACTTGTTCTCAAAGTTCCACTGGCTTTGCACATAGTGACTAGTCTGTTTGTCCAAGGTATTTTGTGTGAGCTCTTGTTGTATGGGCTTTTGCTACTAAGATACAGAATGTCACCTTCAGAAAGATAAGAATGTTTAAAATAAAAATTAGAAAAGTAGAAGTAGAAATGGAAGAGCCTGTAAGTAGAACCAGGCTTCTTAAAACTGAAATCATCCTCTTGCAAATCTCAGCCTTTCAGAAAGGGCATCTACTTCCTTACAACCAAATCGATGGAATGGAGCACTTTCTTGCATCCTCTTAAAAGTAAGGTTTTTTTTTTTTATGTTGCCACCTGTTTGGTCATTAAGTAGACTAGCAAATACATCTTTAGTACCCACATACTAAAAAAAGAGAAGCTCTTTAGGGGATGTGAATGCTTATGAAAATATAAGATGTTAAATTAATAACACAGGAAAATAGATAACATTTGACAAAATTCAATAATCACATGTTGAACTTTACAGTTAAGCAGAATGCTGATTTGTATTTTCAATTTCTTCTCATGACCAATTGTATTGGTATCCAAAACACGAATGTTTCCACAAATCTATTTATTAAGTATTTTATTCTTAGGTTAAGGAACTTATTTGAAGCTTCTTTTACTCTTACTTCAGTGTGTATGTATGTATGTGTATATATATATATATATATATATATATATATATATATATATATTTTTTTTTTTTGAATTTGAAGTATTTGACTCTTCTTCTAAGCAGTTTAAGCTAAACCGTAAAGCTGCAGTTGCACTCAAGATGACCTGTTCTCGATCTTAGAGGTGAGAAGGAACGTGGAAACTGAGGCAGTTTTTATAGGAATTGGGTTCATTCTTAATAAGACTAAAATTCCACTAAGGATATAGAAATCTGGGCTTTGTCAAAGATTCTGAGTTAATACAGTTTTTGGCATTTCTCTGTTTTGAGATTAATTGTATCAATACCATGGCTGCCAAAATGTTTAGTTAAAAGAACCTTGTTTTCAGCTTATGCTAAAAATAGTGCTAATGTTGGCAGAAGCATTCTGAGCCCTAGAAGCTGTACTTGTGTTTGAGGTTCACTTGCCATCTGTTCTCTACATTTATTTTAGTAATATATATTTTTAAAATCATTTTTCACACACATGCACAAAAATCAGTCTGTTTGAAGTGAGACACCAAAAGCACTAGCCAAATCCAGTCATAATATGGCAATTTACAGAACAAGTTACCCTCATAAAGCTTGCAGTGCTACTCATATCTGGTCTGCAACACATGACTTTGGCAGTATTTATACAGAAAAGTATGATTTGATGTTTGCTGAATTACTGCTTTTAAGTCTAATAAAGGTCCACCCTTTCATTTTCATTTTGCTTTACTTTAATGGAAGTTAAACTTATGCCTCTAGAGCATCAGTGATGTTCTGCATGTGATTTTGGAGCACCTACAGGAAGCCTTTAAATGATTCAGATGCCTTTGTGGCTCCTGGCAGGACAGTGAGTGTCTGGAGGCTGAAACACCTGCTCCCGGGAGATAGGCAGCCTGAAAAAGTAGTATAGTGTATAGAGTATATACAGTGTAGTATATATAGAGTATATACAGTATAGAGTAGTATATCTGTATACAGAGACTTTGCATTTTCTGTTTTGTATGGAAGTGATCATTCTGTTTCTGACGCTGTACACTGTTTTTCAGGAAATAGCAGCAGAGTTTTAGGAGTCATTTTGGAGTTGAGAAAGGGATGCAGTAGCTTGTGGTAATCAGAGCAGTGGCGGATGAGAGTTCTGTATTTTAACACAGTTGAGTTTTTCAGTCAGGAGCATAAATACATCATTAGTAGCTAACCATAAATGGGAAAGAGATGGCTTAGTTGTTATGCAGTCCTTTGAGGATCATCATGATGTATTTCTAGAGAGACTATCAGATGCAGTAAAAATGTGCCAAATATCCCTTTATCCTGGAAGTCTGGAGTGTCTCACAGTAGGCAGGTCACCGCGTTGTCCCTTTCAGCTACACACAGCTGTTGTCTGGGAAGTGTCCATGCCAAGTGCAATTTCCAGCAGCACAAGGAACATCCACCAGTGCAGCACAGAATGGTCTTATCCTGATGTGCACCATCAGAAAGGTCTGGGTACTCAACAAGTAAAACTTATATTGCTTTTCTTTTTTTTTTTTTTTCTTTTTTTTGCTTGGTGTATATTTGCTTACAAACTGAAGGATGTTCCAGTATTTTTTAGCTGCTAGAAGATTCCTACTTGACCTTTACAAAACAAACAAGCCATTAAAAACTATCTTGTTAGCATCAGAATCTAGAAGACAGGAATGAGTATCAAAGCAGATTGCATGGCAAAGCATACATTGAGAGAGTGGCTGTCACCAGTCATCTTGCAGAGATGGGTTCTTATGGGTTGAGATGGTAGCATCCTAAAAAAATTTATTTTTAAATTAAAATTCAGCTTCAGTTATCAAGGGGCTGAAGCAGGCTTGTGCCAATTTGAAAGCAACTTTATCCAGTTATTTCTGTGCAAACCTGCGTGAGAACCTTGCATTTATTTGCATGGTGGCGTCGTGGAGCCCTTTGCTCAGCAGGCTCTTATTGCAGCAAAGGCTGGACCGAAGGCAGTTGTTGCAGCCTGCTGTGATGTGGGAGCTCGCGAATTGGCAAGAAGCAGGATGTTTTGACCTGCACATCTCTTTGTTTTCATGAGTTGCTTTAGTTGAGCAATTTCATTGTATCACGTTATATGAACTCTTTAGAAATAAAATGAGTTTTTAGTGATCTGAGAACCTCTAATGAGCAACAATGTCTTTCTTAGGCATTGGTTGAAGCATCTGAAGCATCCTATTTGCCTTTTCTCAGTTTTAGCAGCTTTAGTAGTATCTTTAAGGCTCACTGTAATCAGACTATTGCAGATGAAAATGAATTCCTGAGTTTTTTTTTTTTTAAAGCGGAACAATATGGTCCTGCTCATTATATTCAGGTTGTACCAAATAAACCTGTTGGAATTCTTCAAAATAGAAAACAGAGATTAAAGTGCAGCCCTTGTTACAATTAGGAGAAGTTTTACCCAGTTCTACAGTCTTAATGTGGTATAACTTACCCTTTAGTGTACATCGTTTCCTAAATTAGTTAAGGAGCTGTAACTGAAAAGGTAGCATTTACAAGGAAAGATGTGGTTTATTTTTGTACAGATATCATAAAATATTGATTCTACTATCAAACCTGTAAGAGGTTAGTTTAAATTGCAGAATCCCAAGGATAAGATCGGTTCACGTACATATTTTAGTTGTCTATTAAGTAACTATTTATTGTAACTATTAAGTATCTACTGTTAATTAAACTTTTTTTCAAGTTCCAGATAAGTCATACAGTATTCTGGGGAAACAAGAAACTATCAATGGGCATCAGCTCCTTAACTATCCTTGTAACTACATAACAGGGACACATTCATGTCATTTCTTTGTGCAATAACTTTTGCAAAGAAGTATTTTTAAACTGATCATTAATTTTATGACCACAGAAATGAGATGCAAAATTTATGCTGTTGTCATTGGCACAAGTTCAAGGCACTACTGACATTAAGTGTGATTGTAATGGAATGGCTGCCAACTAATGAGTCTATAGACATTTCATTTGAGCATGCTTTGCTTTTAGAAGTCTGATTAGGCAGTAATGCTTTCAATTATGCCAGCAAATTGCATTGGATACATTTACCTGATGCCCATTCTTGCTTTGTAGTTCAGTTTTCTATTACATAAATGCAAGTTGAATGCTTCTCTTTAATTTATTGGTGCTTTTGGGGTGTATTTTTAGGTACTTGGCACCTGAAGAGAGAAGTAGCGACTTGTGCTGCTCAACACTGACTCCTCTGACTGCTTAAGGAGTAGCACTGATAGTTTCAAACGCAGTTCTATCTAGCCTTCTTTGGAAGGTGAGGTATAAACTGCAGTGCAGCACCTTAATGGAGGAGAATGTGGAGACAAGGCAGAGATTACTCTGAGTGGGAATGCAAAGGACCCCACAGAATCAGCAGGGAGCCTCTCTGTAAACTGTCAGGAGCAATATCCTTGTGTATTAATAGCATACACTCCTAAGGTGTCTTTTAACTGCCAAAACCCAAGGCTGATAGCCTGTAGTCATTGTTTCACGTGAGCACAAAAGCTCTGTGAAACACTGCCTGTTAAAGCTGCAGAGCACGTGGAGTCAGCTCTCCATCAACACGAGTGCAGCTCATGATAGATGAGTGAAGGGTTACATTTCAGTGCATAATACAGACTTAAAATACTTCTGTTTAATCTAAAACAAAAACAAAAAAAGGAAGTTTTTGGCTTAATTTAGTCCTCTGTGGCTGCAGGTTACTTGTGATTCTTTTAGTGCCTGTGACCTGTTCTCCATGTTTTTGATACACAAAAAGTTGGGGTACCTAAATATATGACTGCATGACATGGGATCTGTATATTTGTCCTGATTATCTTTCTCATCTTTTTTTTCATTGTCTTCGAAGTCCTCAAGCCTTTGTTTACAATTTAACATCTAGTGAATTCTTTTATGATCTTAAAATCTTTGAAGTCATTGTATGTACCTCTTTTCTTCACAGTAACTTGTGTTGTTTGAGCATTATTTTGAATTTGGATATTGTGGACTTGGATATTTGTTTTATAATAAATCTGCATTTAATGTGCAACTGATTTTTGTTCTTTCAGATACAGTATATATCTGGGAATGTACATGGGGTGCTCTAAATATGTATGTTTATATTGAAAAGCTTGTATTCTTTTAGATCATCTGGGGATTGTATGAATGCTAAACACAAAGGTTTACTGATTGCAAAATCCTTACCATAATTAGAAAATGCTAATTACGTAGCTTGGTGGAAGAATGGGCTAAACGTGCGCCTATGGGAGTTTGTACAAAAAAATCACAACTTCTCTGAAAGAGTGCATTGCTGGGAAGGGGAAAACCCTATGGAAATGATTCCTTTCTGTGTGTGCTTCCCTGTAAGTGATGCAGAATGGCTACAGGTTCAGATATAGTGAGGCGTACTCTTACTGTTCAATCTGTGGCTTTTGATTGCTGGAGTTTGTTGATTGTGGAAGTGTTTTCCTCTAAAAACACAGCCTAATATTTTAAGTTTATTCTGGCACTGAATGAGCATATAAGTGGTAAATGGGCATTTTTGACTGATAAACCAGAGATTTGAAGGTGGGTGTTGATATAAACTTAGGTTCTTTGCATTCTAGTGCCAGTAAAAATTTAGGGCAGAAAAAGAATGGAACAACTCCTGAGAGGATATAGGCTGTGATTATAATGTCTGGTCTTCTAATAAAGAGTCTATTTTGTAATTTGTGTATGTTTAATATGTGTATGTATGCACAGAGAGTGAGAGGCAGCTGGTCTCTTGCATGTAAGGGTAAAAGATGATCGTAGTAAATATGGCCTAATCTTGTTCTGTTCACATGCTCTCTGCTCTGTGGCTTTCTGTTTGGATGAAGGAGTGAATCTTGGAGACAGATAATTTACTTCTGATTGGTTTGACAGGTGTGATGAAATGCAAATATTTTGATCAGATTTACACGGGAGCCAGAGTGCTACCGGAAGTAGACTGTGTCAAAAATAGATTTGGAATCAGGTTCACATTCTAAGCAATACTTGTATGGCATTGGGACTTGAAAGGAAACTGCTCAGAAAAGCACTAAATTAATGAAAAGAAAATCCAATTTGATGTTGAGCAATTTTGGGCTACAAAAATTCCAGTAAAGCAAGAAAAAAAAAAATTCTGGAAAGAAAACATGTTGGGTTTTTTTTTTTTTTTTTTTTTTTTTTGTGAAGAACAGGGTATAGACTGGATTTTTATATATTAAATAGAAAATAAAGGAATAAAACTCTCAGCCATAGCTAGGCAGCCCAACTGGTTTCTATGGATGCAGAGAATAATTTCACTGTGGATGGGGGTTTATTTGGGAGTTTATAAATTAGCTGTGTGGTACAGTGCTCCAAAAGAGAATATGTGAATAGAGATGCATGTCTGGAGAGCTCTGGAAAGCTTTTGCATGTGAATAAAACAAAAGGAAGTGCTTAAGCAATTTTTTCCTTATATACTTTTTAAGAAAATGGAGGGCTATTTGATCTGTTGGAGCATCAGAGTTACGATTTTGGTTTGGTGACAGTGTCAAGCTTTAATTATTGGATATTTCTTATTTTCCAAGGCTGTTTCTTTAAAAACAAATAAATAATCATGTGGTTGAGGTTGTGGTTTCTTTTTAATTTTCACTTTTTTTCCCCCTGTATTTCCAGTATTTTTTTTCCCTTCTGCTTCTTTGCCTAGTTGCTATGAAAGCAAACAAACCAAACTCAGAAAATACACTGCATTTCAGGGGGGTAAAATTAAATTTCGTCTTATTAAACAAGAACCTCAACTGTAGCAATTTCTCTTTATTTCCCAATATTTAATACACTCTGGTCAGCATCATGCGCTGTTCAGCTAATAACGCAACGTTTGTTTGTTTGTTGTGGTAGGGCTCTCAGTCGTTTGAGAAATTCATCGCTAGAGTGCTGCATTAAGGCACCCCTTTGGGCTGAGTGCTCTCAGAAGGTGATCCCATTTTTGGCTTCGTTGGAAGAGTACAGCACACACTGCATTCGCAGGGTGCCCCTAGAAAGAAGTTGAAGAAAAAAGGAAAGTGGGCAGAGGAGGACAAAGTGTTGCCAGAAGTAGTTGGGCGGGCCTCTGGAAGGAAGATGCAGCATATCCCAGATCCTCTCTACACTTAGAAATGAAAGAGTTCTTGCGTTGACACTGCCCATTTCTCTTCCTGACAGCGTTTGCTCTTGCCTACCTCTTTGCTGTGTTTTTTTCTTTTTCTTTTTCCCCCACCCTGTCAGCTAAGCAGCACTGGTAGTAGGTTCATTATAGGACAGTGTTTAAGAAAACCACTCCAACAAAATGCACTTGGCCAATTAGCATGTTGCACCAGAACAGTAGCATTGAAATACAAGGTGACAAGGTGCATGAGGAATAGACACTTTGAAATAATAGTTAGTATCCTCCTTAACAGTGAGATTCACTTATTCAGTTGTAATGAAAATACTTGCCTTTGGATTCTGTGTTTGCATGACAGACTATATTACATAGTAATGTGGGGTTTTTTTTTTTGACTTTTCAGAATTGGAAGATGAGGAAGAGTCAGAGAGCTCCTTTTCTTCACCTCCTGACAGTGCCTCAATAGCATCTGACCGATGTGATAAAGAGGATGAAGCACATTCTGATGGTATGTGACACTGTTTATCTTAGAATGTACTAGATTTGCCAGTTTGCTACAAACTCGTGTAATGGGTGCCTCGTGATGAGAATGTTACTGTTGGAAATCAGATAAGCAGATAAGCATCACAGCTGGACAGTTTTCCTACCTTTACAAGAACCTTTAAAGGAACAGAAGAGCTCTCTCTAGTGGTCCTAGAGCATAGTGAAGCTGCCGCAAATTTGCATGTTTTTTTTTTTTCCTCAAATACATCCTTTCTGATAACAAAACATCTGTAGATGCGTATGTTTTTATAGAGAGATCATGGCTAAAGCAGTGTGAATATTTGTACTAACAAATTGTTTGTTAATTCAACATTATCAGATTCTTGCTTAATTTTATTGTGCTACTTAATGGCTTACTGTATTATTTATCATATAAATAATGAAACAGTTTATGTGATTGATATTTTTCTGCAAACTCCATGCAGAATAGGTTCATAAAATATTAAATTAATTATTCCCACAATGTTTCCTTGCATTGAGGTAGTCTTTTTGTGGAATGTTTTTGTTGTATACATTTTAAATTTGAGTTTGCATAACAAGGAAAATCTAAGATCCATAGCTGTTTTCCACGTTGTTTTGGGTTGTATTCATTAAATTTAATGCTAAATGTGGCTGTTCTGAAGACATGAACGATTGAATATTTCAGTAGCTAACAAGCTCGCTTTAGCATAGTGTCCATATTTTTGAGGTTCGTTTATTGTATAAATAATATTAAAACCCTTCTATGGATTATACAAGGCAGTAAATTAAGTATATGTACAAATAAATTAACGATGTATATTAATTTGTGGCACTGGAAGTTAGACCTGCTAGTGAATGATGTGTTCTGACATGATATGATGATCAAATTGTGCAGCTCATTCTCGAAATACAATTGCTGAATGAAAATATGCTTCCCGCAACATAGCACTCCACGTTTTATGTTATCCAGATTATTCCCTTTGGAAACATAAATTGCTTTTATGAGGTATAAAATTATGTCTATTGCAGAACAGGGATAAGTCAAGTACATGCATAAGTGATAAACCTTCTAACCACTGATTCAGAATAACACAGTTTTTTTTTTTTTATATTCAGAACTCTGTAAAATGTGTAACAATAATAATCACACTTCTTTTTATATTGAGCTTGTTGCATTTCAGCAATGTGACCTTCTAAAAAAAAATAGTAAAAACAAGCCTTTTTGCTTTCTTGTTGAAATGTAATTATCAGTCAAATTGAATATGGCTTTTAGAAAAGCCAAGCTAATTTTCCAAACTACAGATGAATGCAACTTTCCATTTATTTATTTTTGCTTACAAACATAATCTCAACATTATTTCTAATTGTAACTTAATAACATGGTACTGATTGCATAAAGGGTTTCTGACAAAATTGTATGACTGTTTAATAGGAGATATGATTATATATTTGTTTCAAAACAAGTTAATCAAGAAAAAAGTGATAACGTTCATAAAACTAAATGAATAGCTGAAGAATGCTGACACCAGAGTATATAAGTTACTATACGATTTTGTACAGATGAATAATTAATTTTTAGTTCATTCTGGAAGCTGTGATTATGAGACTAGGTCTGGTACCCGCCCGTCAGTATCTTTGCTTATTGGTTACCGTTTTGGGTGGAAACATGGTGGGTTACATTTAAGGTGATGTTACCTCATTGTTCCTTCTACATTTTCGGAGAAATTCTCCTTGGTTACCTAGTGGAAGCTCAGAATGAGGGAAAGGTGGCAAATTTTGTCTGTAAATACTTACATTTAATTAGGAATTTTCTTCCTCTTTGAATGTCCAGTGTGCCATTTTGAGCGTTTTGATTTTAACATATATAGACCACCATTAAAACATAGCCTCATAGACTGCGTATGAAAATCCATGTTAAGAGGATCTTATAAGAGGTGAATTGATCCTCTGAAGTGCAATTTGTTTCAGTTTTCATAGGCATGATTGGGTTTGTTGAAGCTTAGTAGTTAATTTTTATTTTTTAGCAGTCTCTTAGTGCTCAATATTTAAGCCTAGTGAAGCAGCTGGATCCATAGGGTAGACACTTGGTCTGATGCAGTTACCAGTTTAGTTCAGCAGGGCTGTGCATAGGTGTAAAACCTCATTTGCATAGAATCAAGGCTCTCAGCATTAACAGAGGGGCATAACGGTAGGTAATCAAATGGAGAAGCATTCTTTATTTGAGTGTGTTTGTATTATTTTATATAAACCTTTGAAGCATGTTTGCTGTTTGAAAAACAAAAATGTATATATTTATATATATGTATTTTTTACCTTTATATACTTGAATTCAAGACTTCAAGATTTGTCTGACTTCTGAAAGCACTGCTGCTTGGCTTTGCCGTGTTACTGTCAAAATATGATTTGTGAAGGCACCCGCTTGGTAACAGATAAAGAATTAGTGTATTACGTGTACATTATAGTCATTGTAAAATCCCGGAGTTTTTGTGTGACCTTTGTCTAATGGTGTATTAATTACACAAGAGATAATCCATTTAACAATAAGTATGGGATAACTAAATTAGCACAGGTCACCTAAAGGCCTTTTGTCAAATCCGATTGTTATGTTGTCCTTTTGACTTTTACCTTATGGTAGGCACTAACAAAGTATCTAAACTTTGATGGATTATAAACTCTAAACATGATATGTATTTTTCATAATGCTAATGTAATTTTCTAGGTACTGAAAAGGTCAAACCCACACGTCTCTGTGTGCATTCTAAGTCTGTCTTTCCTTTTAATATTTCTTTTTCTCTGTTCCTCTGGTTCAAAAGTTCACTCCGTTCCCAAATGGCCACCTAATTTTCCAGTTATTCCCTCAAGCCATATGTGTTTTGGTTTCTTTATGGTTTATTAGGTACTGTAGGAAAGTAGCATAAGTTATATCTTCTAATGAAATTCAAGCACACTTCAGTGATGCTTTGACTTGATTGCTGGCAGCAATTAAATCACAACGAAGGAGAATGATGCATAGGCTTACATGTCCAGACACCCTACAGAAATTGGAAGAGGGATAAAGCACAACAAAACCCCAAATAAAATAACAAACCCAAACCCAAGACAGACAAAACAAAACAGCACTGCCAGGCACTCAGTTCTTAACTTGATTTTTTTTTTTTATTGGCTAACAGCCTGATTGATAGCAAAATCATAACTTGCTGTATGCTAACAGGCAGAGTTCACTTGTAGGTTATTGTGAGCTGATAAAGGGTTAGATGGAGTTTTGATTTTCACATTGGTCCTTGGTGCACCAGATTAATGGAATTTCAATGAGAGACTGGAGTAGTCACAGCTTTGTCAGAAAAACAGATGGAGATTCTATAGCTATGTCTGCTCATTAATACCAGTTGCCTGAAAGGTGTACTACTTCTCTATACAAAAGACTCAACATAATTGATTTTTGAGTGGTGTCTTTTTTCACTTATTGATGGCTAGGTTTCTTGCAACTTAAACGACAGGTTTTTGTATAGTACATTGTATTACAATGTTATGCCTTGTAATTTCTTACTCCTTTTCCATCTGTATGTTAAAGAACGTAAGTAATGGAAAATACATCTCTAGGTTCATTAGAAAGCAAAGCATGCTGAAATACATAAAAAGTGAAAAAGGCAGACTTTATTTAAAGTTGCTGGCAAACTTATTTTCAGTTGACGGTTAATTAATAATGAAGTTGTCATATTAATGGGGAAAATGTTACTGTCTTTTATTTAATTTTCAGGTTCCTTAGGTTGATGTGAAATCTAGGTTTAACGCCATACTGAAACTTTCTTAGACTTTAACAGTATAACCTTATTTTATGATGCCCATTGTGGTTTTTTTTTTTTTTTTTTTTTTTTTTTTTACTGTAAATCTTTGGTTGGTGGTATAGAAACTTGATTCCATGCTAGGCAATGCCTTTACTATTAAGGAATACAACTTTTGTCATTGTAACTATTGTGAGTGAACTTGTGAGTGAACCTACCACTTATGAAGAAGATATGTCTGGTTAGCTCTGCAGGGAGTGTGATTTAGTAATTACTGGATTTAAAAAGATCATAGTGAATGCTATTAAAATAATTTAGGTCACTTTCTTTTCTATGGGTAATCTAGAAATGTTGCCTTGAGCATGTGAAGATGAAGGAAGTACTAAAAATGTGTCTGAGGACTTGTATGGTCTTCAAATTATCCTATTTGACTATAGCGTATGAATAAAATATGCTTTTTTAGTAGAAAATTCTTAAATGGAGTGAGAATGTCAGGGGATTAGGTAGGCTGAGACACTTATGGACGATTTGTAAATCTGCAGCCTTCAGTGTTTTCTACGTAGGAACATTTTGAACCTTGTCATCCAGAGTAAAATCTTTGCAGGTTGATGGAATCACAGTGAAAAGCAAAGTGTACTAAAGAACAGCCTGAAACATGAAGAATATTTTGCAAACTCAGCTTAGATTGAAATCCACATCTCTTCTTTTAATCTCCCTTCCCAAGTTAAATGGGATACATGTGGGAACAGGTGTGTATAAATTCCCAGGTTCACATCTATTTATTGAAGAGAGTGTTGAAATAATAGTCAAAAGATGTAGAGAAGTTCAGCTCCTTGTTGGACAGGAGAGACTTTGTAGTCAAGCAAATATATTATCCTTATCGTGCGTGAAATGATTTTTGGCAGTCACCTGTCTCGTCTTTCCTAAAAATCTCTAATACTGCAACTTCACTGTCTTTCCTAGGCACTTTGTCCCAGTGCAGCACTGCACTTGCTATTAGCAGATACGTGTCCTAAATGCTTCATATCACACTATTGACATTTTACTCCCTTTTGTCCATAAAGGAAACACAGTGGTTTCTTTCCTTTCTTTTCCTTTTGTCATGTATATATTCAAAGACTGAAAAGAGGCTCTGTACCTCTCCAAAATTAACTGCTGCTGACAAAGTCAAGCAACTGAACTGCTTGTTTGTTTGTTTACAGGATCCATAGCAGCAAATATT